CTGTGCCCTTGCCAACACACAGCACTGGGACACTTACTGGTCAAGCCTTCGCCCCAGTCTTCCCAATTCACACACTTGTCCTGCTACACAACAAGAGATAGGAACTTTAAGGACTAAGTCCAATTTCATTGGATGCTAAACATATAAAGACAATTGATACAGGAGAATTGATTAGGGTGTTTCTGATACCTTCCCAGAAAGGTCTCCGGAGGGCCCTGCTGTTGGGTCTCTAGCTGATGGGCTAGATGCTTTAGCTGATGACTCTGCTATCGTCCTTTTCCCCTCAGATACATACAGCACCCTGCTCTCACATGCAGACCAGGCCAGGCAGCCAAACTGAGCTGCACACACACACAGAGAAAGACAGAGACAGATGGAGAGAGGACAAGAGACAGAGAAAGAGACAAATGAAAGCAAATGGCCCTGATAAGGTCAAAATTGGACAGGTCTAGCATGGAACCACATGCACAGAGCACTGACTGTAGTCATTCAAATCACTCAAGGACTCAAGGCCTTCCAATTCTCATACACTCTCCCATGTTTGTTGAGCTCTGTGACATCGATTATTTTATTCATGCCATAGTTGCTCCACATCTGAAAATGAACAGACAATATAAAAGTAAAAGAAAACCTGTCCGTATTGTATCAGGGTGGGTGAATGAATTGAGCCAAGATGTGGCTGACACACCCAGACCACTCCTAGCCTCGTACGAACCATCCTGATCTCGCGAGCTTACATTCTGTTTCGCTACACCGCTATCAGGATGGTTCGTATGAGGCTAGACCACTCCATCCTTACCTCTAGAAATTATTGTCCCACCCCCTGACTGCTGGCTTCCCTTACAACCGCCTTCAGATCTCCAGGTGGAGAGTAGGAACTCAGCAACCTAGCTGAGCAGTAAAGAAGGAATGCAGCTTTTAAAGTTGCAGCAGAGAGAGCCTACAAAATCTTTATTCACCCCTCAAGACCCTCATGTAATCATCTTACACACATATTATGTAACATCGTCCAAAGGCATGACAGCCCCAGGAAAGTGTGAGGTGGGGGCTTGTCTGTCTGTCTGCTACTTACCCTCCGTATAAGAGGCTGCAGGGGCTTGGTGGTAAGATCTTTACTGTCCTCTTCTTGATCAGTGTCCACTGCTGGGCATAGTGCAGTCCGTTTCCACTGACTGTCTCACTCTAGCTCCACTCTGAGTGCAGTTTTGTGGAGAAGTTTCAAAGTTGTGTTTAAGGTACACTACCGTTCAAAAGTTTGGGGTGACTTAGAAATGTCCTTGTTTTCTAAAGAAAAGCATTTTTTTTGTCCATTAAAATAACATAAAATTGATCAGAAATACAGTGTAGTCATATCTCAGACTGCCCATCTTAATCTTTTCTTTTTATTGGCCAGTCTGAGATATGGCTTTTTCTTTGCAACTTTGCCTAGGTCAGCATCCCGGAGTCGCCTCTACACTGTTGACGTTGAGACTGGTGTTTTGCGGGTACTATTTAATTAAGCTGCCAGTTGAGGACCTGTGAGGCGTCTGTTTCTCAAACTAGACACTAATGTATTTGTCCTCTTGCTCAGTTGTGCACCGGGGCCTCCCACTCCTCTTTCTATTCTGGTTAGAACCAGTTTGCGCTGTTCTGTGAAGGGAGTAGTACACAGCATTGTACGAGATCTTCAGTTTCTTGGCAATTTCTCGCATGGAATAGCCTTCATTTCTCAGAACAAGAATGGACTGACGAGTTTCAGAAGAAAGTTATTTGTTTCTGGCCATTTTTAGCCTGTAATCGAACCCACAATTGCTGATCCTCCAGATACTCAACTAGTCTCAAGAAGGCCAGTTTTATTGCTTCTTTAAATCAGCACAACAATTTTCAGCTGTGCTAACATAATTGCAAAAGGGTTTTCAAATGATCAATTATCCTTTTAAAATGATAAACTTGGATTAGCAAACACAACATGCCATTGTAACACAGGACTGATGGTTGCTGATAATGGGCCTCTGTACGCCTATGTAGATATTCCATTAAAAATCAGCTACAATAGCCATTTACAACATTAACAATGTCTACACTGTATTTCTGATTAATTTGATGTTATTTTAAATGGACAAAATAAATTGCTTTTCTTTCGAAAACAAGGACATTTCTAAGGGACCCCAAACTTCTGAACGGTAGTGTACATTTTAAAGCAAAAAACATGAATATGCACACATAAAAATGATAACATCAGCTTGGGCACATATGGCTTTTTTATGGTTTAATCAGTGTGTGTGTGTGTGTGAACTCACCTGTCGACAAATTAAAAACGAGTAATGCAGCTCACTATGCATCCTCCTGGTTCAGTCGCAGTCACAAAAAGGAATGGGATACCCACTATAAGTGCTGATAGCATCGGGTCCCATTCGTGCCTAGGTGGCAGGTGCAGTAGAGTTAGTTAACAGACCTGCAGCTGTCGACAGTTTTTGGAAACACTTTTACACTGCATGCCATTAGCTAACTAATCACGTATCGATTAGTTTGAACACAGGTGATATGAAGCAATGGGTGCATGCAACGAACATGAATTATCTGCTTAAATGTATAAAAGTTTAGAGAGCTGACTTTAATATTAACATAGACGGAACAAAATGGTACATTTCTTTTCGTAATTATTACTTTTAAATCTGTCAAAAATGCAATAATAGTTTCACGTCTTTTACAAGGGACTCCATGTTGACACCGCAGACGATACCATTTTGTGGAGAATGAGATTTAGCAGTACAGGGGTGATGGAAGAGACCAAACACAAGGTGGCAGCAGCAACACATGAACTTGACGTCACTGAATTGTTGTCCAGTGTGGACTTTTTCCCCCATCAAATCCCACTAGATATATTAATGACGCGGGCCGCAGCGATACATAAATGGGAACTTTTCAGCCCTTGCCTTCGATCTCTGCATTACAATGCTAACATTAAAACATTTTAAAAACCCACTTAGCGAAAATAATTAATGATTACATAGATACAACAGCCTTAGTGTTATTACATCTCTCCATAATCAATTTATTTACCTCATCCTTGTGGTTACATAGCATTGTTTGTCAAGATACATGGCAATCTTGGAAAATAAGTGCCATATAACGGATCATGTTTTCTCCATTGTTCAAGTCCACTCCTAGAATACATACACATGCATTTGTATATACACTTTACAAAAATATAAACGCAACATGCAACAATTTCAAAGATTTTACTGAGTATCAGTGCATAAGGAAATCAGTCAATTGAAATAAATGCATTAGGCCCTAATCTATGGATTTCACATGACTGGTAATACAGCTATGCATCTGTTGGTCAGATACCTTTTTTTAAATTTATTTTTTTAAGTAGGGCATGATCAGAAAACCAGTCCGGATCTGGTGTGACCACCACTTGCCTCATGCAGCACGACATCTCCTTCGCATAGAATTGATCAGGCTGTTGATTGTGGCTTGTGGAATGTTGTCGCACTCCTCTTCAATGGCTGTGCGAAGTTGCTGGATATTGGCGGGAACTGGAACACACTGTCGTACATGTCGAGCCAGAGCATCCCAAACATGCTCAAATGGGTGGCATGTCTGGTGAGTATGCAGGCCGTGGAAGAACTGGGACATTTTCAGCTTCCATAAATTGTGTACATATCCTTGCAACATGAGGCTGTGTATTATCATGCTGAAACATGAGGTGATGGAGGCAGATGAATGGCACAACAATGGACCTCAGGATCTCGTCACGGTATCTCTGTGCATTCAAATTGCCATCGATAAATTGCAATTGTGTTCATTGTCCATAGCTTATGCCTGCCCATACCATAACCCCATCATGGGGCACTCTGTTCACAACGTTGACATGAGCAAACCGCTCACCCACACAAGGCCATAACACGCTGTCTGCCATCTGCCCAGTGGTACAGTTGAAACCAGGATTCCCCCTTGAAGAGCCATCGAAGGTGAGCATTTGCCTACTGAAGTCAGCTACAACGCCGAACTGCAGTCAGGTCAAGACCCTGTTGAGGGCGATGAGCACACAGATGAGATGCCGTGACAGTTTGTGCAGAAATTCTTTGGCTGTGCAAACCCACAGTTTAATCAGGTGTCCAGGTGGCTGGTCTCAGACAATCCCGCAGGTGAAGAAGCCGGATGAGGAGGTCCTGGGCTGGCGTGGCTACATGTGGTCTGCGGTTGAGGCCGGTTGGACGTACTGCCAAATTCTCTAAAGCGACGTTGGAGGCAGCTTATGGTAGAGAAATGAACATTCAATTCTCTGGCAACAGCTCTGGTGGACATTCCCACAGTCAGCATGCCAATTGCACACTCCCTCAAAACTTAGTGGCCTTTTATTGTCCCCAGCACAAGGTGCACCTGTTTAATGATCATGCTGTTTAATCAGTTTTTTGTCAGGTGGATGGATTATCTTTGCAAAGGAGAAATGATCACTAACAGGGATGTAAACACATTTGTGCACAACATTTGAGAGAAATAAGCTTTTTGTGCGTATGGAACATTTCTTGGCTCTTATTTCAGCTCATGAAACATGGGACCAACACTACATGTTGCATTTATATTTTTGTTCAGTTTACAAGTATAGATTATATGCACAACCAACCAGCATAAAAAATATACATGAAGATCCAAACCTACATTTTCTTCCCATATCTGAAGTCTGTAAACATAACTTATTTTAAGAATCAATTCGCCCACTTTCAATAAATTAGAAAATAAAATACTGTACATGACCAGAAATGGTTAAGATATTCTTCCAAAAATATTAATTAAAAAGATACAATAAACCACCTTTTTGCTTTATTTTTAGGCGTCCCGTAGGTGTCATGATTTTATTATGTGGTGTTAAATTACAAATTAAAAAAACACGCACACACATTTGCAATGTCTGCCAAGTCCCTGGTTTGGCAGCAGTCATTGGGTCTTGTGAGATGAGTTTGGGCAAGGGGCCTGTTCAGGAGGGTGTAACGTTACAGAACGTTCCTATAGAAATGTACTGTGTAGAACATATAGGATTGTCTGTCATTTGGAAATGGAAATCATGTCAGCTCTATTCATTACATTTCTATCTGCAACGTTACCAAACGTTTCGCTTCAATAAATATACCCCAGTATTCTTCTCCTCAGGGTCTCCATCCTATGGGGCCAAGGCACGTTCCATCAATTCCTCTCCTCCATTCCTCACATCACATCTGCTCTCTTGTCCCTCACTTTGTTCCTTAGTTTAGTCCTGGCTTTGAAGGCCGCTGAGTTGAACAGATGCTGTGAGATAAATAAATCCACAGGTTAGATTTACACCCTTCAAAATGAAGAATACCAATATGGAGGGCAGGTTTCTACTGGGTCCTGTGAAGACTAGGCAAACTCATAACATGTCATGGTAATGCTAAAGCTAATGGACAGGTACATTTTGTTTAACCGACATGTATTTCATTAGACAGTGGAGATCTCACATGATATGCCCTATGTGGTTGTTGAACAGGTATGCGTCATGTTGTGTGAGTATTTTCTGGTGGTAGGGCAGTGGTTATGGTTTTAGGGGAGTGGTTATGTGCTGGTGGTAGGTGGGTTTGCAGACAGTTTAAAGTTCATTGGACGTGGGGTCACCTTCTCGAAACGGGAGATCTTACTGGCTTTGACGGACGAGTCCAGTATCAGAGGGGGTCCCAGGCCAAAGATATCCCTCAGCAGCGGGTTAAACTACAGAGACAAGACCAGGCACACCTTTAAATATCATAGAATGACAAGCTGGTTACTGGCAATTACTGAATGATACATGAGAAAACAAGCATCAAAAACCTTGCTGTGAGATTTGATTAGAACATTGTTGGTTGCAGAGATACTTGATATCTGCTGTAATGAGAGTATATATATATATATATATATATATATATATACACACACATACATACATACATATACACACACACACAGTGGGGAGAACAAGTATTTGATACACTGCCGATTTTGCAGGTTTTCCTACTTACAAAGCATGTAGAGGTCTGTAATTTTTATCATAGGTACACTTCAACTGTGAGAGACAGAATCTAAAACAAAAATCCAGAAAATCACATTGTATGATTTTTAAGTAATTAATTTGCATTTTATTGCATGACATAAGTATTTGATCACCTACCAACCAGTAAGAATTCCGTCTCTCACATACCTGTTAGTTTTTCTTTAAGAAGCCCTCCTGTTCTCCACTCATTACCTGTATTAACTGCACCTGTTTGGACTCGTTACCTGTATAAAAGACACCTGTCCACACACTCAATCAATCAAACAGACTCCAACCTCTCCACAATGGCCAAGACCAGAGAGCTGTGTAAGGACATCAGGGATAAAATTGTAGACCTGCACAAGGCTGAGATGGGCTACAGGACAATAGGAAAGCAGCTTGGTGAGAAGGCAACAACTGTTGGTGCAATTATTAGAAAATGGAAGAAGTTCAAGATGACGGTCAATCACCCTCGGTCTGGGGCTCCATGTAAGATCTCACCTTGTGGGGCATCAATGATCATGAGGAAGGTGAGGGATCAGCCCAGAACTACACGGCAGGACCTGGTTAATGACCTGAAGAGAGCTGGGACCACAGTCTCAAAGAAATCCATTACTAACACACTACGCCGTCATGGATTAAAATCCTGCAGCGCACGCAAGGTCCCCCTGCTCAAGCCAACGCATGTCCAGGCCCGTCTGAAGTTTGCCAATGACCATCTGGATGATCCAGAGGAGGAATGGGAGAAGGTCATGTGGTCTGATGAGACAAAAATAGAGCTTTTTGGTCTAAACTCCACTCGCCGTGTTTGGAGGATGAAGAAGGATGAGTACAACCCCAAGAACACCATCCCAACCGTGAAGCATGGAGGTGGAAACATCATTCTTTGGGGATGCTTTTCTGCAAAGGGGACAGGACGACTGCACCGTATTGAGGGGAGGATGGATGGGGCCATGTATCGCGAGATCTTGGCCAACAACCTCCTTCCCTCAGTAAGAGCATTGAAGATGGGTCGTGGCTGGGTCTTCCAGCATGACAACGACCCGAAACACACAGCCAGGGCAACTAAGGAGTGGCTCCGTAAGAAGCATCTCAAGGTCCTGGAGTGGCCTAGCCAGTCTCCAGACATGAACCCAATAGAAAATCTTTGGAGGGAGCTGAAAGTCCGTATTGCCCAGCGACAGCCCCGAAACCTGAAGGATCTGGAGAAGGTCTGTATGGAGGGGTGGGCCAAAATCCCTGCTGCAGTGTGTGCAAACCTGGTCAAGACCTACAGGAAACATATAATAATAATAATATGCCATTTAGCAGACGCTTTTATCCAAAGCGACTTATATGATCTCTGTAATTGCAAACAAAGGTTTCTGTACCAAATATTAAGTTCTGCTTTTCAGATGTATCAAATACTTACAGTGAGGGAAAAAAGTATTTGATCCACTGCTGATTTTGTATGTTTGCCCACTGACAAAGACATGATCAGTCTATAATTT